GGTTACACCTGCCAAACCCATTATCTGCAAATTGTGCCACTGCCCACACCTCTGCAAAGCCCACTCCTCTGAACAGAATGTAACTGACTGGAACTTAGTAAACAATGATATTGGCACAGAAAGAAATGTGGCTTATCTGTAACTGAGGAGTGACAGGCACAGCTGAAGAGATGGGGAGAATAGATGCAAAAGTGACTCTTAGATGAGTCATTCTGCTCTGGGCTGGTCCTTGAGTGTTGGCTGTCGATGGGAGCAAAGGGCTGTCACAGCAGCTGGGGATCATCAGGGCTCTGGGATGTCTTTCTACTTCCCCCCTTATACACACACACATCATGCTGTCTGTCTTCAGGGAGTGGGGGATGGCATAGGAGCCATTATGGCCGTTCTGTGCCACCAGGGGCGTTTGTAGTGGGGAAATTCCTCCAATGGCCAGGTAAGCTGACTTTAGGGCAGCTTGGCATTGGTGGACTGGCACACAGGGCAAAGGATTCACCCTGCCTGACTCAAAATGTGCAGTCACTGAGCAGGTATGTTTCCAGTGAGGTCCTGCAGTGGCTGGTTCTTGGACCTACACTATTTAACTCTTTTATCAAGGAGCTAAAATAAAACATAAAATTGTCAGCAACGAAGTTTCTTGATTACACAAAAAATGGGGGGAATGGTAAATAATAAAGAGGACAGGTCACTAATACAGGGCGCTCTATATTTTGCTTGATAAGCTATGTGCAAGCAAGCAATATGCATTTTAATATAACTGAATGTAAAAGTATTCAACTAAGAACTGACATGCTTACAGGATGGAGGGTTCTATCCCAGGAAATAGAGAGAGTTGCAGTAGGACAGCGCCTGTAAGAAATGTAAGTTACTTTCGCCCCTGGGATGCACAAACAGAAGAATTGCAAGTGGAATAAAGAGGTTATATTACTTCTGTATTTGGCACTAGTGGGACTGCTGCTGGACTACTGTGTCCAGTTTTGGTGCCCACAGTTCAAGAAAATGTTGACAAACTGGAGAGGGTTCAGAGAAGAGCCACAAGAATGATTAACAGATTCAAACGTATGCCTTGTAGTGACTGACCTCTTTGAATCTATGTAGCTTAACAAAAAGAAGATTAAGGGGTGACTTGATTGCAGACTGTACATATCTACATAAAAAACAAAAAATAATATTGGGCTCTTCAGTCTTGCACAGAAAAATACAACACAACTCAATAGTTGGAAGTTGAAACTAGATAAATGTCGCACTGGAAATAGGCATACATATTTAACAAAAAATAAATGACCATTGGAACAATTTTCCAAGAGTCATGATGGGCTCTCCATCACTGATCATTTTAAAATCAAGATTGGATTTTTTTCTAAGAGATTGACATAGTAATTACTTTTGGGAACATTCTATGGCTAGTGTTATATAGGACATCAGACGTGATGCTACAAAGACTCTGTCAGGTCTTGATATCCTAATGAATGAATACAACAGGGTCGGATTTTAAATAGTGCCATACTCCTAGGGGAACACAAACTTAAGAAAAGTCAACAGTGTGCCACTGTTGCAAAAATAAGCAAACATTATTTTGGTAGTGTCTAGGAGGATGTGGGGCCCAGAACAAATTAGTGTGTATGGGCCCCGAATCAAATTTTTTTTTACAAGTGAATCCTTGTGTGGAGAGGAGATGTTTGGGGGGTGAGGGATGATGGAGAGTCAAGGGTGGCGTCAGTGCTAAGTTTAAGGAGGCCCTCTTTGCCGGGGGTCCCAGAAAAGGGAGGGGTCCTGGGAGGAAGGGTAGTGGATGGGGACAGTCTGGCGCTAGCAAGTTCCAGCGGCACTAGGGCAATGCTGGGAGCTGGTGGGGCAGAGCAGGGGGCTGCAGTTGCTACAGCTGTTGTCAGTTCTCTCCCATTATACCAACCTGTTCTAATTCAAGACCTCAGAAAGTAGCCCTTCTGTTTTCTTTGTTTGTTGTTTATTATCTTTGGTTTGACTCCTGAAGGAAGAAGAAAAGTAAGGGGTCTTATGTGTTTATCTGATTGAGGAAAAAAAATGCAGATTAGAAACTTTTTTTAATGTTTATGTTGACTTTAAAGGGAGCTTTGTTAGCCCTGTTGTGGCAAATAACAGCAAAAATGAGTATAAATTAGGTGAGAGAAACAAAATACTTTTATTCATTTTGTTTACTTTGTGCTTTTGGCAGCACTATGTGTATATCAAGCTTTGCTGTTTCCTTCGGTATAGTCAGTTCTCCTTGTTTAGTGTGACACTTCTATAATGCAAGGAGGCAGAATATCTTTTTTGAAAGAAAATATTATTTAATCATAAAAGCTGGCAAGCGGTTTAAGGGGAATATGGATAACCAAAACCACTTTAATTTGTGCAGATTTCAAATTGCAAGTGCCCCTTTAATTTTAATGAAGTTTTTTGAGTACTGAAGGATCAAAGAATCTCCTAAGAAAAACACTTTATTTGAGATTTATTTAATAAATACAAAAATGGTGTTCTGAACTGGGAGTTTGGAAAAGTAACTGGATCTCTTTGCTAGGAAACTGGTGACAATTAACAGGTCAGAAATTTTGGGTCAGGTTTTCAAAAGAGCCTAAGTGTCTAAGCCAGTATAAACATACATCAATATAACTCTGCTGCTCAGGGATGTGAAAAATCAACTTCACTAAAGTGCTACTGTACTGCGGCACAGCTGCACTGGTGCAGCTGTTTAAATGTAGACCTGACTGTAAAGGCATCCAAGACTGCTGACCGGGGGGTGGAGGCTGCTTTGGGGCCTGGCGATTAGAGCCCTGCAAATTCGTGGGTATCCGCGTCCGTGAATGCAGATATATGCAACTCATTATTGAGGCTACAGATGTGAATACAAAGTTTGCGTCTAGAACCCTGAAAATCTGTCGATATCCATTTTATATCCGTGGCCATCCAAATCGACATTTTTGCGGATACAGATGCAAATACAAAACTCTCTATCTCCATAGAGCTCTTATGGCAGTTTTGAAAGGGCTCAGGGTTTCTGGCTACCAGAGCACTGGTCCCTTTAAATCACTGAAGGAGTCCCACACGGTGCACTCTGGGCACCCCTGAAGGGCTGACTGGGGGAGGTTATCCCTACCCCTGCCTCTCTTCCTGTGAGGCCCTATCCCTTCCGGCAGCATGGAGCTGAGTCCCATCCCACCTTGCTTAGGAGCCCAGCAAGTCTCTCTGCAGCCCTGAAGACATCAACCTTTCTTACTTTCAATAGGAATTTTATGAGTCATAAGGGATCAGCCGACAAAGGCTTTCTTTGTCGCCCGATCCCCGTCTTGACAGCTGGTTTTTGCAGTAAAACTGCTGACTTGGCAAATCGCGGCGGCCATTTTATTCAAATGAAGTGCGGGAGATTTAAATCCCCACTTCATTTGCAATGTCAGTATGTCTAATTTACATCCCTCTGGCGACAGAGGGATGTAGTCTAGACATACCCTTAGGCACATTTTGAAAATTCTACCTTTTGATGCTTGATTTACAAAAGAAAAGAATCTATTTTATCCCCTTCTGAAAAAGACCATTCCTTAAAATGAATGTATCACTTTGATTCACATCTAAATTGTAAGAATTGGAGTATGACATAACCTGGCTGCTGGTGGATCAGCCCACCCCTCACAGGAACAGAGCTGTGTCAGACATAAAAAGCCTTAGTGGAGAGGCAAGTGTTAATAGACAGAACTCTGCATCAGCCAGGCCTTATTAGCCTCCCAGAAAGGCACCTGGAGCAGTTATAAAGGGCGGGAAGATAGCTGCTACGGATGGATCAAGAATCAGGCTGCTGACCAGAGCTCAGGCCTGGCTGGCTGGTTTATATTCTACTTCACCCTTTGCAACAAGAAGGGAGTTTAAAGACTGCTCTTTGTGCTCTTCTGCTACAAAACAGGAGTTGAAAATTGATTGTATGTCTCTGCTTTTCCCTGGAGCAGGAGGCATCCACAGATTCTGCCAACCCTTCCTTTGGCGTGAGAAGGGGATTTAACGATTATATGTACTTTTCCTGTGTTCAGCCTGTGTAAGGGATCTTTGTCTCTGTTTCTTGGAGAGGATGTAGGACAGTGGTTCTTAACCTCTTTGGCACAGTTACCCCTTAAGCTTAACCAATAAACCAGAATTACACCCTCCTCTGTTTTTAAATGGGAATAGACAAAAAGAAAATGACAATCATTTTGAATGTATTTTGTTTTCTCATACATTACGTTGAACAAAGCTGAACACCTATTGTATTTTAAACTTTAGTATCCCCTGAAATGTGTCAAATTACCCTAGAGGGGTAATTACTCCCTGGTTAAGAACCGCTGCTCTAGGAGCTCTGCCAGTGGAAAACAAGTTGATCTCCAAGGTCCTTCCTCGGGGATAAGGATTATCTGTTTTGGTGTTTGTACTACATGTATCACAATGGAGTTCCCATCTCAATTGGTACCTGTGGGTGCTATTATACTATACATATTTAATAATGAAGACTGTGCCCTGGAGGACTAAAAAGAGGGACAGGGTTGCCTGAGAGCATGGAAGACCTACCAGACTATAACCTTAGTTTGGGTCTGGATGGGCTGGAGTTCCTTTTCTTTCCGGGCATTTGCAAGAGGCTGACTCTGTGACAGGAACCGGAGAGTATTGATTCGATAGCACAGAATTGGACTTTGATCAGAGAGAGATGCCTTGTGGATTCTTCTTTGGTGTTAGCCCGGCAAAAGGATATGTCTAACTTTTTATTAAAAAAACTGTTCAGAGAGACTCATCTTTTTGTGCCTGCAGCTAAAGCAAGGTGAAGCAGATCACCAAAGCTTTTACGCATATGATGTTCTTGCATTCATTCCCATTTGTTTTTGCCAAAGTCCATTGTGGTAAAGATCCAGAACATCGTTCCCCTTTAGCAGCTGAAATCTTACATCCACATCTAAATGAATGCACAGTCTTAATCATGGTGGGGTTTCTTTGTTTTTGTGTTTTTGTTGTGTTTTTTTTTTTTTTAGGGTGGCAAAATCACTGAAAGTTCCTGTGTATGAAACGCCAACAGGCTGGAGGTTTTTCTCAAATCTGATGGATTCTGGACGATGTTCGCTTTGTGGAGAAGAAAGCTTTGGCACTGGTAAGAAATCCAGAGACAACATTTTCCTTTGAGCCTTAACTCTGCGTATTCTCTTGTAGGCTAATGGGCACTAATCTCTTCATTAAGAGGTAGGAAGACTTAACAAATTAATTCCATGGCATGACTGGCTAGTGGACTCTCAAAGGTTCATGTTGGGATTGGTAACCTTTAAGCTCTGGGTGCTACATAACGAAATATAAGAGTTTCAGTAGCAAAAACAGTATGCCAAACTCCTTCCATCCATTCCATCCGAGAACAGTATAGGACCCAGAAAAATTTCTCCTGGTCTTACTGCAAAAACAATTTTCAGTCGCTTGCTAGCAATTTGATGGATTGTGTGCATATGTATATGGTCATTGTGAGGGTCTGTATATTAATTATCAGGCTCTGTACATTAAATTGAACCTGTGGCAGGTGTGTCTCTTTGGGATCTAGTCCAGTTTTCCAATAGTTCTGGTGACAGAACTCTAATAAAACTACCTGAATGTCCTCCAGTCAGTTGCCACGTTTGCCCAAAGATTGAGTAGCCTGCCAGGAACACAGGCTTGCTAGCTCCAGCATATTCTCCAAACATGTGAAGCATCTGTCTATACCCGTGGTCTCCAACCCGGTGCCTGTGGGCGCCAAGGCACCCGCCGGGCCCTTTACGTGCGCCCGCGGAGCAATCTGGGCTGGCCCCGCCCCCGGGCATGCGGCAGGTGCCAGCCCCGGGCGCATGGCCGGTCCCGGCCCCGGGTGCGCCGCACGTGCCGGTGCTGACCCT